AGAGTCATAGCATGAACTTTCAAGTTCTCTATAATATCTTCTACCGTCATTCTTTGCGAATATTTCATTTATCTTTTCGAATGAATGAAACACACATTTCCATTAATTGGTTTGGTGTTTGGCACCAAATAGTTAGTCGTCATTTATTAATAAATAAAAAATCAAAATTAAAAGATGAAAATGAATTTTTAATTTTAATGAAATAATCAACTATGGCTCAGGTATATTTAAGGAAACTGTGGGATAGAGTAAAAGAGGAGCGAGTAAGTTTGGGAAACATTGAAGAAGGGAGCAAATTGGATATTTAAGAATAAAGAAGCAATTAGTGACATTGCTGAATCAATAACACCAAAAGCTGCCCCAATAAGAGAAGTTTTAAATAAAAGGAAAAAAGTTTATCAAGACTACAACCGATACTAAGATAAAAATAATATTTATTTATTTTCCAACTATCTACCTCTATTTTATTAAGTATTCCTTCAGCTATTCCACCAATGGCGTTACTCTGCTTGTGCTCCCATCGCCGGATTACCTGCTTTAGTACCTAATACTCCACCTATGATAGTTCCTGCCGTTTTCGCTACTGGTGCCAAAAAAGTTTGCAATGGGTTTAATAATCTTTTTATGAACCCAACCCGCAGCTTTCTTAATTCCATCCATAATTTTTTAAAGATCCTGCCGCCATTTCTGATTTAATATTAATTAAAAAAATATATTTCATCACTTATATTCTAATTTTTATTTAATGATAAATGAAACCGATTTTAAAAATAAATGAAACAGAGGAAGAAATAAATGAAAGTGAAAATGTTCAACAAAAAATAAACGTTGTTAAACCAATTACTGAAATAAAAATTTTTTCATCTGTTGAAGAATTTAATGACTATTATGCTAATAATAAAAAATTATTTGAAGAATTGACAACATGTAAATTGAATAAAATGTTTAAAGTTGATGGATTCAAAATTTCAAAAATAAAGGGGGTGGTTAGTTTGAAATCTATTCCTCAATCAAGAATCACCTCATTAATGAAAATAGATGATTTACAAAAGAATAGAAGAGATTGAAGAAAGAATGATCAAATAAATTGATTTTCATAAATTCAAAATATCATTAGTTTCTTAAAGTTCAATGTTGAACTCATCAAATTCTTCTTCATCATTACCATTAGCGAGTTTATTTACTCTTTCAACTCTATCTTTTTGATAGTCTTGTGTTTATTTTTTTCTGAAGTTTTTCGTTACCAAGTTCTAAAATTTTACATGGATGATATTTAAACCCGTTAAATTCTTTTTCCTCAGTTTTAATCTCATTAATCTACAAAGAACTTTAGTGAGGTGGTTTTGTTGTTTAAACCATTTATCCTTAATATTTGTTATAATTCAATATCCGGAATTAATTCCCAAATTTTTGAATTTTTCGATTAATTTACCATCAAATGCAAAAGCAATGGGTTTAATATTAAACTTACCTTTATAAAATAAACTTTGTATGTAATCATCAAAATAAGCGTCTACTTTTTAACCTGGGTGAGAATTGGTGAAAGTTTATCCATTAATTGATTCACAGTCACGAATTTTGATTCACTCATTTCTTCGAATTAAAAAAAATAAATTATTCAAAAATGTAAGACATGAATTTTTAAAGTTTATTTCTAATTCATGAAAATAATTATTTCTAATTTCTTCTTCTCGTTTATGAGGTCTTTGATTATGACTCCATTGATTCCATTCAGGATTTAAACAATGTTTAATTAATCGCGGAATATCTGACATCATCTATATATAGCTTCTTTTATAAAAGATAAAAAAATTATTTTAAAATTAATGTTAATTTTTTAAAATGTGTTTAGTATATAAATATATTTTTATTTTTTATTTCATTATGTTTGGGCTGAGTGTAAATGTCTTACAATTTGAAAAATTATTTAAATCTTGATTTATTCAAAAACGTAGAATAAAAACCGTAAGAATCATACATTTTTTACTTCACATGT